CCTGCCGACAAGAGGGTGGAATTGCTCGGCTGAAGAGGCCGAATTGGAAGAGGGCAGAACTGTGCTGCCCTTGAGGGGGGTCCGTCCAGCCCGGCGGGTGCTAGCTTGGAACGGGGTTGAGCGGAGGGACTGCTAAACAGCCCTGCAGCCTTGGCTCTGCCCCACACGCCCGTGTCGCCAGCTCCCCCTGCGGCTGCGAATAGCACACGCACCGTTACCCGTGCAGGGCCGGCCCGTTGTGATCACGAGTCGCGGTCCAGGCCGCGGAGGAACGCAAGTGAGACGTCAGCCACGACGGGATGCTGAGCGGCTTGTGGGCTAACCGAACACCTGCCGTGTGGGCTGCTCCGCGGCGCCCCGCCCACAGCCCCCGGGCAGGTTGGGTCAGGGCCTCAGTACCGCCCCTCTGCACAGCCCACGGAGCGCTCCCTGGCACGCGGCCCATTAGCGTGGCCTTGGGATGGGGGAACGGGTTGACCTTGCTAAATTAGGGGGCTGATTCTCACTGGGTTCGGGGGAGAGCGGCCCCTACACCCATTCAGAGAGCTAGGCCTGGCACGCTCTGCCCTCAGCGCCAGTCGCCTGCTGCCCTCTCTCCTGCGCAGCGTTTCTCAGTCTCGCCTGTGCGGCCTGTGCGGGGAGATCAGTTCTGGGGGGCTCCCGGGAGCCGGAGGAAGGGGCAGGATTCGTGCCCCGTCAAGGGACGCCATTGCCGTTAGCCTCCCAAAAGCTTCAGCTCCCCTTCTCGAGTACTGCTGTTCCCAGCCCCGCCCCGCGGTCACGGAGCTTGTCAGGAAACCAAAGCCCTCGGCTCTGCAGTGATGTTTCCAGCCAGCCCCCCTTTCCAGCTAGCCGCCCTGCACTGCGCGGCCACTTTGTCCCAGCACGCGGCTGGCCGGGGAGGGGCTGGGGGTACTGCCAGCTCGGAGGGGCCTGATCCGCAGAGTGCTCTGCGGGAACGGACTGGCCAGCGCTCTGCAGCACGTGACGCCCTGGCTGTGCGCTGCGTCCAAAAGGCCCTGGAACGGGTTGTGCCGAGAGGGCTCCTCTCCAGGGTGTGCCAGGAGGCTGACTGGTGCATGGGGACTAATGCACTGGCCTCTCTCCTGCCTGGCTCAGCCAGCAGGTGACGCGATGCTCCAGCTTTGCTTCACTCCCCTAAGTTCCCCTCCCCGGCAGCACGTAGCGGGAACGGGGCAAGCGAGCAGGCCTGGCCTCTGGCTCTGCCGTGCGGCCTCAGAGCTCTCAAGTGAGGGGCCTGTGAGTTGTAGAAAGAGCTGAACGAGCGTGTCCAGCCCTGTGCCCGCAGCTCAGAGCGAGCGCTGGGAACGCGGGGCCCTCCTGAGAACGCGGAAGGGTTAGAAACCCGCCGTGCGGTGTCGGACGCCAGGCGCTCAGGCCGCGTCGTGCCA